TCCCTACACTAGAGGCCAGTTAAGTTACCTGCCTCCTCTGTGTGGTCTGGCTTGTTGAACAAATATCAAGATTCACACCTGGAAGTTATCTCTATCAGAGCTTATGCTCCAGGTATTTGTATCATTAAAAATATTTCTCATTTATCATATGCTTGAAAAGCACCTACAGCAGAGCTTCTTTATATTTCATATATGGTTCTTCTGGATGCTGACATTAATTTATTCTCAGTTTAGTAAATTTGTGGATTTTTACATTTTGGAGAAAAGTTGCTTGCACTCAGAATGTTTTCCTCATTTATAGATGCTAGAAAAGTCTGGCCAAGCAAATCTTTCTCTGATTTTCATTAATTACAAACTTCAGTCTCTTTCAGGTTTTGCTTTTGAATTTTTGTTTCAGTTGCTCATTGTCTCCTTTTGCTTTCTCAGACTCAAAAGTGGTCTGTCATATGCAAGACTGAAAACAAGAAAGGTCCTCTTACAAGGATCTGTGACCTTGCTTCCATAGTTATTGGTTTTTGATAGTAGGACTAGCTGATAGTAAAAATGTGGAGGTTTAATTGTTGATGTCGTTGAAAACAGAGGATGTTTCACCACTATATTCTGCTATAACAAACTTCTGAATTTTTTTGGAGAAGGAAGAGTCTTACAGAAGTCTTAAGAATGGTGCTTTTTTTTTTTAAAAAAATAGGCCACTAGATGGAGTACAAGAATCAAAACCAGTTTGTATTAGCCTGAAATAATCTACACTGTAAACATTGTAGCTCTAGAAAGCCTTACTGTCTTTTAAACAAGAACTTGACAATGTGAAATATATATATATATATGTAAAAAACCTGTTAATTTCTCAGCAGGTGCTGACAATAGTCCACCAAAACATTCAGTCAATAGTGAAAGCCATTCATCTAGAAGAAGGAATCGGCACTCCAAATCAAAAGTAACAAATGGAATCGGCAAGAAATAAGAATGGTTTCTGAAGATATCCTACAGTGTGACCAGAGGTGACAAAGAAAATCGGACCTGGCTCTGAATTTCCAAATGGAAGATTGATTTTTAAATTTAAAAGTTAATAAAAGGAGGTGTTGAAGAAAAGGATGATCAAGATAGAGCCACCAGTGTAGTGCAAATCATTGCCTGCTGACACTTGCAATTCACTGATTTAAACCTAGTTTCTTCAGCATGTGGCACCAAAAGCTAATGAAGAGGATACTGGAAAGAAAGTAATTTTGTCATAACAGGTCCACCCTGTTTTGTGTTCAGGTGTTGAAAGTGCATTTTTAATATCTTAGTTGAGGATTTAAACACAAAGGTTAGTAAACTGATAATCAGTTGGCACAGCTGGTTGGATTTTTTTTTTTGTTTTACTGTGTTTTTCCTGATTTCTAGAAGAGTATGCAATCCTTTGACTAAAAGCAACTCTGCCCTTCTTTCTCAGTCTCACAAGTAAACTTTTCTGTACAACAGTTAGTAAGTATTTAAAATTGCTATACTTGTAGACAGCTGCTTGCTCTGATGGAAAGCCTCTTTAGACCTGGTGGCAGGGTTTTACCAGCAAAGAAATGGGTCCAGGCTTCTTGTAAAGGATGCGAAATTGACCTTCAAACATGGTTTTGTTCTACCTTGTCCTTCTGCTTGATTGTTACATATTTGATTTCTGTTGTGAGGCAGAGGGCCATGCCTGCTACCCTCAGAGACAATGTCATTTAGTTGTTTTTCTTCCTTTACTGCGGTGTGTTTTGCATCAAGTGCAAATATGTAATTTTTTCAGCTGTCACATTGTGTACAAAGGTCCTTCCCACTTCCCTCTAATTTGCCTCTGCCTCAGCTGAAATCCCAGCATCTTCAGACTGATATCAGAAACTGCTTTGAAGGCTCTGATGCCCTACTAAGCCTGGTGATAAGGCAGTTCTTTTCCTGGAGTTGCTTACTACTTCCATAAACATAATTATTTGTGAAGGCTTGCTATAGTCTTTGGTATCTGAGAGGCAGCATGATATCACTGTGATATACCCCATTGGTTTGGTAGTTCCTGTCATGCAGTCAGATACCCAACAGCAAAGTCACTCTTTCTTGCAGGTTGTTGTTTTTTTTGTATTGGGTGTTCTCGGTTTCGTGGGGTTTTTTTAATGCATTAATTCTGACATCTAGCAAAGTGGATAATTCTCTAGCAGTGAACATAATGATTAAGTCAAGAGGTAAACAATCAAGAGCAATCAGTTCCTGTATAAAGTTATCAAAATGTTTTTGTGCCAATTAGATTTTGTGACTCATGGGGCTCAGAGGGGTAGATAGCTTAAGCACGGATAAGTGATACCCATTAGTCACTTATTTTTCATAAGAAAATGCAATTTCCTTTTTCTATGAATAACGTTACTGTGATTTGCCACACACTAAGTACTGAAAAAAAATGCAGCAGAGACTTTATGCAAGTGTATGATACTGTAAATAGAAAAAAGTATCCTGTGTAACACATTAATTCCTATGTGCCACAGATTATCAATGTTTTCAATGCACTTAAGTGTTGCTGCTGAACTCCTCACAGGCCCTTCGTTTCCCACCATGCTTTTCAATCAAACAACAAAAAATCAACAAGTGTACAACTTGGGAAGTAACATAATAGAAGCTGCTATATCATCATTGATACAGTGACATTAAATGTTCCATGAGAAAAAAAGTTAGGAAGACTTTCAGGCTTTCCTACAACTACTTGGGGTTTTTCCGTACTGTAGTGATTCTGTGTATTGTTTCCTTATTCATAATGTACTACATATTGATGAATGTATTTGTAGATTTCTTTGGCTACTCAGACTTGTTATTTTTTTATTTTCCTGGCAATAACTAAGTCTGTGTAAGACTGTAGAATGGCATTGTAAATTTTCTGTTGATTCAATACCAAAGCAAGAGGTTGGAAGTTTAATGTTTGGAGTACTGTAGCTTTCAAAGGTGAGAGCCTGTTTTGTACTTGCAAGGTACACCAACTATGTATACAAACTTAAATGTGTAAGCAGATGCTGAAGTACAATACCTACTTGCCTGTGGGGACAAGCACACATTTTGTAAATGCAAACCTGGTGCTTACACCGCTGAATTGCACCCTAAAAATATTGGAAAGGCAAATACGAAGTGTCATTGTGTTGGAAGCTGACTTCTGTATGCTATGACAACTGCTTGGCCTTGAAGAAATGTTGTTTGACAACACCTTTAAAAATATTTCCCATTAAGTCTTTTTACTTTGATTTTTTTTGGTGTTTGTTTCATTGTTTGGTGTTTTTCTTTTATTGTTTTTTACTACTTTAAAAGTGCGATGGCTAGGGAGAGGGGAAACTTAAGTAAATTATTCAAGTGCTGCTTGGAAAATTTGGCACTTTGTGTCCTCTGTCAGCAATTCTGACTGGAATTCACCCTTGTTCTCACAAGTCCTTCACTGACTGACAACTTGTATTTTCAGCCCCCTTGTCTTTGGACATGAGCTTTGCACTGGCAGGCATTGGAAAGGTGCTTTTGATCACTGCTGTAAAATTAGTGATCTCAGTTTTATAATTTCCTGTGCTATTGCTGAATTCTGTATGTGTGTAACACCAATGACGAATCTATGAGCTGTTTAGCAACAAGCATCCATGTATGAATTCTGCTGCTTGAACAGTATTTTGTAACAGTCACTGATGCACTGTCCTGTTTTTAGCTACTTGTTCTGTCACAGCCTCTCATTCCTACTTTCCTGCTTCTGCTGTTCTTTCCTTTCTCTGTCCTCTAGTGATCTCCCCTGCTGCTATGGAGAGATCTGAATTGGCCTTCCAGAGGCTGTCCATCAATGGTGTCAGTCATTGAAGGGAGGCTAATTCAGGGCAGCATGATATAAGCAGAAGGTAGTGGCAAGAACTTTAAGTAGTGGATTAAATAAAAATGGGAAGTTTTAAAATGCAGGTATACAGTGAGCCAGAGCTAGTCTTTAGTTCTGGATTCCAGTATTGAAGTTGCTGCATAGATCATATACCACATCTAATTAAAAATTTGGAGTGTGATTTCAACCCATGCTTTTGTTACTCTTCTGTGAAGATCATAATTTGATCTTCTAGCTGTTAAATCTTTAATATTTTTTTACCTTGTTATCACAAGAGGACACAGATGTTACCATGTATTTAATAATTTTTGAATAGACTTGCTCTGTATTGATTGCAAAGTATTGTATTTTGCAATAACTCAGTAAATCAACCCATGTCACCAGTTTGTGTGTTTGTCTGGACCTGCAAGACACAGAAAATTATTACAGAATTGTATTATTCTATGTAATTGCATGCTGACAAACGCAGCGGTTCCTGAGAAGCCTACGGTGTGCACTAAGGTTTTGCTGTAATTTATTATTTTGGAGCAGCAGATCTGATAATATGAGCAGTTATATTATGCCTTCTGAAGTTTAGTGTACAGGATAAATCTTATCTTAATTATTCTTTTTGGATTTGTTTTACTATTGGATGGGAGAGCTGCATTGCAAGATGGTCTCATGACAGACCTTTAAAGAAGAAATGAGACTTCCTGTGGAAGAACTGGAAGACAATCAGCAAGTAAACTTCTGCCACTATAAAGGTGACACTGAGTATCAGAAACACTTTGCTTTGGCTTCTGCTACTGCCAGCAGTTTCCAGCTGTTACTGTACTGAAAACCTATTGTGAGCTCTTGATTGCTCCTTGGCTGTTGGCACTAGCCTGATGTCTAGTGTGTCAAGCAGCATGGCTTTCCCTTTCTTCCTCAGTTCCTTCTGTCTACAGGCATTGAATACTGGCACTTTCTGCCTTGCTGGGAAGGGCTTTTCTGCAACATTACTTACCTTTTGGAATAGTGATTTGTAGAGAGCCCATGAATTCTGAGGTTGTAGTAGGAATAGCCAGGACTTAAGCTTGTTCGTCCTGTGGGAAGAACAGCTAAGAGGCAAGTGTTGAGTATAAAATCTCTTCTGGATCTCTTCTGGGAAAATACTGGATTAAACAATTTATAAGAGCCACCTCTTGCAGTACACTGCTTACTACATTGGATAAGGCTTTTTTATGTCTTCTTTCTGATCAATTAAAGCGTTAAAGGGGGACCTTGATAGGCTTGGAGAGGTGGGCTTGTGCAAACCTCATGAAGTTCAACAAGGCCAAGTGCAAGGTCCTGCATGTGGGTTGGGGCAATCCCAAGCACAAATACAGGCTGGGGGGAGAATGGATTGAGAGCAGCTCTGAGGAGAAAGACTTGGGTGTGCTGGTTGATGGGAAGCTCAGCACTGACCCCAGAATGTGCGCTTGCAGCCCAGAAAGCCAACTGTATACTGGGGCCACATCAAAAGAAGTGTGAGCAGCAGGTTCAAGGAGGTGATTCTCCCCCTCTGCTCTGCTCTTGTGAGGCCCCACCTGGAGTACTGCATCCGGCTCTGGGGCCCCAAACATAAGTACATGGACCTCTTAGAGCAAGTCCAAAGGAGGGCCATGAAGATGGTCAGAGGGTTGGAGCACCTCCCCTATGAGGACAGGCTGAGAGAGTTGGGGTTGTTCAGCCTGGAGAAGAGAAGGCTCTGGGAGGACCTTATAGCAGCCTTCCAGTGCTGAAAGGGGGCTACAGGAGAGATGGGGAGGGACTTTTTACAAGGGCATGTAGTGACAGGATGAGGGGTAATGGTTTTAAGCTGAAAGAGAGTAGATTTAGGCTAGATATTATGAAGAAATTCTTTACTGTGAGGGTGGTGAGACACTGGAACAGGTTTCCCGGAGAAGCTGTGGATGCCCCATCCCTGGAGGGGTTCAAGGCCAGGCTGGATGGGGCTTTGAGCAACCTGGGCTAGTGGAGGGGGTCCCTGCCCATGGCAGGGGGGTTGGAACTCGATGATCTTCAAAGTTCCTTCCAACCCAAACCATTCTGTGATTAAAAATACTGTAAAAAACTGAAGCATTGTGCTCCTTGGGAACTTGAAACTTGGGATCCCTTTTACAAAAGGAGCATGGGGCTGTGCTGCTTTTGAGGGATCTTTATTTTGTGTCTTGGTAGTTGGTGTTGTGGGTGGAACTGTAATCAGCAGTTTCAGGGTAGGGTCAACTGATCTGGATGGCTACATTACTGCTCCCTTCTCCTGTGGCAGAACTTGTACACGATTTTGGTAATGTGATTTGGTGCAGACTGGAAGCTAGAGCCGAAAGCTGGCATGGTGCTGACTAAAATAGGTATTGGCGTCCATGCCTACTTTGATATCTGCAGTTCATTCAGTTTTTGCCACTGACATGGAAA